GTTCCAAAAGATGATCTCTAGATCACCCACAAAAAAGAGACCAAACTCAGCTGAGTTTTTCGCCATTTATAGGGGATTTTAGGGGTGTAACCGTCCCCTAAAATCTCTCCTTAATGGGGTGTAACCAACCCCATTTTGTGGAACACGGTTTTAAAACCATTCAAGGGTTTAAGGTGTGTAATCTTCCCCCTAAAATCTCTCCATAATGGGGTGTAACCGACCCCATTAAGTGGAGATACGGTTTTGAAATCGTTCAGGTTCTGTTTGAACCAGTAAAACGCAGAAAATGATGTTCTGGGCCTGAGCACCGCGTTTGGCGGCTGAGAATGCACAAGCCGCACTGTGTTTTGAATCTGGGCGTGAACGCAGAGTTTGCAAGCTGTGTTAGCGGCTGAGTTTGTATTGCTGCGTCCGCATTTGCATTTGCTCTACGTCCACGTTTGAACTGCATCAGCAGTTGTGAAACGCTGTGTTTATGCCGCGTTTTTAGCTGATACGCGGGGAGGACCTCCGCGTTTTGGTTTGGGGAGATCATCAATTTTGTAGTCTCTTTTGAGCGTTTGTAAATATCGTTGTCTTGGCTCCTTGAAAATATGAGAATCATCAAATTTATCTCCCGATGTTGATTGTGAAGGCTGTTGAACTAGAGCTTTCATTGGTTGTTGCGAAGGTCGTCAGATTGTAACATTCATCAATCTACGTGAAAGTCTTTAAATTATAGCATTCTGGAAGTCGTCAGATTGTAACTTCCATCATCGGTGTTTGATGGGGATAAACTATCTGTAGTAATTTTTAGACAGCCTATAGAGACTAATTAGAATTTCTTTTGACGATTTTTTTTCATGTGTGGCTACTTACTATCTCGTGATGTAATTTTTTTTCCTCTAAAAATACATGAATATTCGAGGCCCTAAATAAGAAAAAACCAAAAAGCCAAAAAATACACGGTGTAAGTCTCGTACACAGAGACACAAGACAAATATACTTATGCCCTAACGAAAGAAGCTGAGCAGTCATCAGCTTATACAATTTTTCCAACCTGCAACCGAATCACACAGAGAGAAAATTCGTTTTCCTCAAAAAAATATTATTTTTTGCAAAATAATAATTTCCCTCCACTCTATCTGAACAATTAATTTCCCTCCTTTCCCTCGTTTTCTGCTCTTCCCTTTTCCTAACCCTCACTCTCTCTCTCTCTCTCTCCCCTCTTTCCCCCAAAATTCTCTGCTCCTCAATCAGAACCCTAACCCTAACTTCAACCTCTAATCCCTCAATCTCCCCCCAAAACCTGACGTTTCAGCTCCCGATCCAACTTCAACCTCCGATCGAGGGCTCGATCTCAATGTCAGGCGGCCGAGGAGCTGGGAATCAATCCGGTCAGATCTTGCAGCCGATGAGGCGGCACGTGCGCCGCCGGCGATTGTCGGCGGTCGGCCGGGGACGAGGCGTCTGAAATGATCGTCATTAGGACGCCGGTGAGTTTTCCATCGGCGTTGATTCCTAGTTTGTGATTTTTTGTTTAGGTTATTGTTAAGTTTGCGATTTGTTAGATCTGTGTGATTTTTAGTGGTAAGTTCAGTTACTGAAGTGAAGTATCTGATTGATGTTTTTTTGCAGTTGAAAGATTAGGATTCTTTAATGTTGATCGTCGAGAATTGCTAAGAAGCTAAGAACTTTTTGGTAGCCAGTTGAGCTAGATATCTAAGAGCAGACACTTCAGAAGCACTGATGTTTTATGTGCTTTAATAGAAGCTTTTCATTTTGGTTTTGTGACGTTTTGAGTTAATTGTTTAGAACCATCTGCGCTTTACAATTGCAAGTTAGGGAACAGCGTAGGATAACTGAATTGTGCTACTTAACATCAGATTCACTATGAAGGAGTTAGTACGATTGAACTTCCTTAGTTTGCTACAAATCTGTGCTTAAAATTTTAATTGCATTGCCATTCAATCAGTTCTCTCTTCTTTGGTTACCAATTTTTATTAAGACTTTTAACAGCAGGATACTCTTTTCAGTTAGTTGCATGTATCTGTGTGAGCCAGCAATTTGTATTCCTCCTTGCTCCATCCATTTGTGCCGCTTTAATCAACTGACATATAGAGCTGGCAGGAGCTAAATTCCCCATCCAGATGATCCCTTCCACAATCTCAAAATAGAAGACAAGCATTTGGTTGTCATAGATTAGTTCTTTTTGACGGTAAAGGAAGGGAATCCCACACTCCCCCTTTTTAGGGAAGGGGGAATTAAGTTCTTCATTGGCACTTCTGAGACCTAGAACCTCTTGCCACTCTTGTTTAGTCAAGCAAATCACGAACTAACCCAGCTAGTTGGCTTAATCTTTTATTAGACTTTGACGTTTGTGTCCACCATATAGTTCTTATGTAGTTTGAGTAGTGTGTTCTACTTGGGGTACCCGATAACTCTTGGTTTTGGAGTTGAATGCAATTTTATTTTGGCATTGCTCTTTCCTGTTTCTTACTCGATACCCTTCTTTCTCATAGGTAACTTGCATAGTTCCTTAAAATTTGCATATATATCATTGCCGTCCATACTGGATTATATTTGATGACCAAGGATTGCTGTATCAAATTCAAAAGGCACCCACCACTTGATAGTATCACCAATTCAGTATATCTCCCATCTGAAGCTTCATATGTAGTTGAGCTTGCCTCGTTATTAATGTCCACACAAGGTTGCTGTATCTCTATTGGAATTTCTTGTTTGAGTTTCTTCCGTTTGGCCCGTGATGATGGAACTGCAGGATTTCTTAGGTTTCTTTCTCATGTGGAAGGTGTGTGGAATTCTTTATCTAACCAAAAGTACAGTATAATTCAATTCACTGAAACAATCTTACAAGTTTTTGCCATTGTACTAATATATTCCAACTCCCTCACAATATAATTTACCCCTAAACTAACAGCTTCAACCGGGCATACTCTTGAGTACATATTATGGTCCAACTACATGTCTGTTTCATGATTGTGGATCATAATAGGTCATAGACTCACAAAAAAAAAAAAAAATAAAATAAAATAATAAATAAATAATAATAATAATCGCTATCTGTGAGCCACGGAACCTCTTGTAGGATGGTACTGGTCTCAATATATGTGTGTGCAAATGTGTCAGCTTCGTGTAGAGAGGATAGATAAACAATTTTCTGTCTTTGAATCTCGTATAAGTAACAAGTTTCCCTTATAAAACATGGGGGCCTAATTACTATGGTGGTAGGTGAGCATCAAGCTTATAAACCAGTGATGGCCAGGGCAAGCAGCCTTCAAAAGTGTTAAACAAGAAATTTGTTTGAGCGTATTGGTTAAAAATTATTGCTTAGGTAAAAATATCACTTTTTGCAGGGCAGTGTAAATAACGTTCCAAACATCTTATACATATATAATGATGCATGTATGTACCCTACATTTTTATTAATGAAAGACTACCTGGTTTGTTAGACATTGATGTTCTCTTTTACTCTCTGATGTTGGTCTGATGAAAGACTTCTATATTCAGTTGAAGCGAAAGCCTGAACAAGATGACAACGAAGCTGCAGAATCAAGTGAGTGGGCAACCAGCCTGGGATATGCTGAAGCAATTAACAGTCCTCTCCTTACCCCAGTGTCAGGAAAAGGTGGCCGGTCCTATGGCAGGTCAAAGGTTACAAAAGGCAACAAATTTATACCACAGACCCCCATCTCAAATGCTGGTAAGTACATTCCTCAATTTTATTTCTCTCTTATTCTCATAGCTGGATCTTCTTGAATGAATTGGTTCACTTTCATATCCAAAATTTTTTTATTCATGACACGTGTATCTAAATGTCGATGCTCGCTTTTCTAACCACAATCTCTTCTTCTAGTTTACATCATTTGATCTCAGTTAAGGATAGAATGATGAAAGGATTATTGTATTATGCAGGTTCTCCTTCGGACCACAATCTCACTCCGGCTGGTAACTGCCGTTATGACAGTTCGCTAGGTAATTGAAGTGCTGATTTGTTGATGAATATAAAAACTTCAGTGTTTGTGAAGTTTTGGTGGATCTTATAAGGAAAGTTTGCTAAGTTTTGCACTAGATGACATGTATCCTCATTTTCTTTCAGGACTTTTGACGAAAAAGTTCATTAATTTACTCAAACATGCTCAGGATGGCATTCTTGATTTGAACAATGCTGCAGAAACTTTAGAGGTTAGAAAAGCAATATAAATTATCTGCACTGTCTCATCTCACAGAAATGGTAACTGCTGTTACAAGTGAAAAAAATGTGTCATTCCAAATCCAAGTTTACTAAAAGGTTTCTGATGTTACAGGTGCAAAAAAGGCGGATATATGACATCACAAATGTTCTAGAAGGAATAGGTTTGATAGAAAAGAAACTGAAAAATAGAATACGTTGGAAGTATGATGTCCCTCTTCTACTTTAACTACCAATTTGTTATGTGCTGCTCTTATTCTTCCTCATGAGTTCAAGGTTCAGTACTTATGACAAATACTTTGACAGGGGACTTGATGATTTAATGCCAGGAGGTGCGGATGCTGATATTTCAAATTTGCAGGTATTTGGATGAAATTTATTCATATACTTAGGTGTTTTGCTAGTAGCAAATAAACCTCAAATATGTGTTAGCTTGCAATGCACGTGAAGAAGTTCGATGAATTGCTGCAATCTGAGGTTTCCCCCCTTCTTGTTTTCTTTTAGTTGGAAGTTGAAAGTCTTACTTTGAAAGAGCAAAGCTTGGATGCACATATAAGGTTAAGTGTTTGTCGATAAAGTACATTGTGGTCAACATCTTGAGATATTCATAGTGAAATACTGAATAATTATCTTTTACAGCAAATTGCGTGAAAAATTAAGTGATCTCAGTGAAGATGAATACAGTCAGAAGTAAGAGCTCTAATAACTCATGCTTAGTCACCAGGAATTAGTCAATCTCATTTGTGCAGTCAATTTATGTTTTCCCATCCATTCATCTATAGGTGGCTTTATGTGACAGAAGATGACATCAAAGGAATACCCTGCTTTCAGGTTTGCTCCCGGTTTCACAATTTTGGGTGGTGATTATTCTGGTTTCTGCAGTGATATAAAACATCGAGAGACACTGTTTTCAGTTATTGTCATCTATTTCAATATCTTCCTATTTGATATTATCAGAATGAAACACTAATTGCAATTAAAGCGCCCCATGGTACTACCCTTGAAGTTCCGGATCCAGAAGAGGTGGGAATATGCAATTAGGGAGTTAAAGCTTAATTAGTGTGCTTCACATTATAATATTTAGTACTTTTAACATTTCCTCCTCTACATACAGGCTACTGACTATCCCCAAAAGCGATATAGAATTGTCCTGAGAAGCACCATGGGACCGATAGATGTTTACCTAGTGAGGTGATGCACAGAGCCTTTCCAGTCAAAATTTGTCATAACATGCGAACTTGAAATAAATTACATTTTAATTCACAAAATCTTGTAAATGCATCTAAATTGACTTCATTTCAGTAAATTCGAGGAGAAATTTGAGGAGATGAAGGGTGCTGAGACACCACCAAGACTCCCACCTGCATCAAGTTCAGGGTCCACACAGAATTCAGTATGGACAATGGCTGCAGAATGCACTAAAGAAAAAGAGATCGATCCTCAGCTTCAAAACTCAAGGATGTGCTCAAATTTAGATGCCTCGAATGATTTTGCTGGTGGGATCACCAAGATAATTCCTTCAGATGTCGATGTAAGTGCAGTGACATGATAGTAAAATCTTTAATTGCTAGTTTAACCATTAAAATTTTGAGAAGTGTCCTATTTCTTTGGAGCCATGCTCCAGAGACGATCCCCATTTAGATGAGAAAAGGCTAAGAAGATTCTGATGAGGATGTTAATCTATTTCTCCTGGCTTTATTGGACACTAGTGTGAACACCGACATATTTTTCCAGCTACAGTAATCCCTTTTTTGAATATTTGGGATTGCTACATTATCCCGCCTCTGCTACATTGTTTCCCGTGTACTAAAGTAATATTTTTTTAAAACACTGCAGTTCATGTTTGCTACAGTAATAATGCGCTGTAGCATTTACTGTCGCTTGAATAGTGAATCTTGGGTTCTCCCATTTGTATAGAGGGGTAGATAACTATGTCTAGGAGGATCATGGAAACATTCATGTTTGCATGGGTCTACACTGCAATACCAATAACATTGGCGTTTCAAAATATGTGGCTAACCCCACCGTTACCTATAGTTTTCTCATCCAGGAACTTAAGTACAAATTTAGCGAGTGATCCAAGTTGAAATCTCTTGATATATTAAATCTTCAATTAAGTTGTAGGCTATCTAAAAATCACAATAGATAGTTAATCTCCCATCAAACACCGATGATGGAAGTTACAATCTGATGACTTCCAGAAGGCTACAATTTGAGGACTTTCACGTAGAAGGTTACAATCTGACGACCTTCACAACAACTAATGAAAGCTCTAATTCAACAGCATTCACAATCAACATCGGGAGTTACAATCGGACGACTCTCATATTTTATAACAGGCAAAGATCAATAAGCAATGGCCTTTGCAATGTTATAATGGACGAGGTTATAAGCCAACAATCTCTCTCAAACGCAGAAATTCACTTCTGCGTTTTTCAAGTTCAAAACGCAGACAAGTGTGCGTTCCTTAAACAGGCGTCGAACTCTGTAACGCAGAGTTAAATCGCAAAACGCAGACAAGTGTGCGTTCCTTAGCAGGTGTCGAACTCTGTAACGCAGAGTTAAATCACGAAACACACACGTAATGTGCGTTCTTCGACAGACTCGACTGCATCCCAAACTCTGAACGCAGAGTTGATCCTCAACGCACCAGTGACCTGTGCGTTTCCAATTTCAGAACGCATGCGGCCTGTGCGTTTCAAATCTCCAATAGAGATTTAACTCTGCGTCCTAAGTCTTGGACGCAGAGTTAAAGCCCAAATGTGGCCTGTGCGTTTCGACTCCTAGCGAACGCCTAACTCTGCATCTCATCTTTAAGACGCAGAGTTAAGGTCCAAACGCAAGCGAACCTTGCGTTTTCAACTCCCAGCGAGCGCCCAACTATGCGTCTCATCAATAAGACGCAAAGTTAAGGCCCAGAACGCTGTTTTCAGCGTTTTGACTCGTTCAAAACACTAACAGTACGGTTTCAAAACCGTCTTCCCCACGATGTAGGGAGCTGTTTAAGAGGGGGCAGTTACACCCCACTCAGCCCATTGAGGAGCTAATTAAGGGGGCAGTTACCACCCCTAAATCCCCTATAAATAGTGGGAAACTCAACTGAGTTTGGGCTGGCTCTTGGATCCTTTTCTTTGGGGAGGAAAAAAGGAGAGATCATCGGCTAACTCTGGAGGGGAATTGTTGGAGTTTTGAAGACCAGCAACAGGAGCTTCTCCCTTGGCTTATTAACCGAATTTTCGGTTTAAATCAACTCTTTTTCAAGAGTTCAAACTCGTTCAGAGTTATCAACTCGATCAGAGTTCAAAACTTGCTCTGCAAGTTCTTCTAAAACTCGTCAGAGTTCTCAACTCGATCAGAGTTCAAAACTTACTCTGCGAGTTCTTCTAGAACTCGTTCAGAGTTATCAACTCGTCAAGAGTTATTTCAAAACTTGCCACGCAAGTTCTCCACAGCGTCAAATCGTGAGGAGAAGACATCGTTCTAGTGAATCAAGACGATCAGATCGTCAACGAGAAGCAAACTCGACGCAATCATTCGAGGGAGGCATCTCATCGCCACCGTGAAGAACCCAGAATTAAACAAAGGGGAGAATCAAATTCATTCTCCTCTCTTTTGTAATCGGAATCCAAATTGTAATCGATTTTGAGGGAATACAAGTCAAATTTTCTTTCATTGTCTTTTTACTACAAATTTCCAAATTGACGAGTTTTAGAAGAACTTGCAGAGCAAGTTTTGAACTCTGATCGAGTTGATAACTCTGAACGAGTTTGAAACTCTATGGAAGAGTTGATTTAAACCGAAAATTCGGTTAATAAGCCAAGGGAGAAGTTCCTGTTGCTGGTCTTCAAAACTCCAACAATTCCCCAGCAGAGTCGCCATCTTTTGTTTGGTGGAAATTTGTAGTAAAAAGACAATGAAAGAAAATTTGACTTGTATTCCTTCAAAATCGATTACAATTTGGATTCCGATTACAAAAGAGAGGAGAATGAATTTGATTCTCCCCTTTGTTTAAAACTGGGTTCTTCACGGTGGCGATGAGATGCCTCCCTCGAATGCTCGCGTCGAGTTTGCTTCTCGTTGACGATCCGATCATCTTGATTCACTGGAACGATGTCTTCTCCTCACGATTTGACGCTGTGGAGAACTTGCGTGGCAAGTTTGAAAATAACTCTTAACGAGTTGATAACTCTGAACGAGTTTTAGAAGAACTCGTAGAGTAAGTTTTGAACTCTGATCGAGTTAATAACTCTGAGACGCAGAGTTGGGCGCTTGCTGGGAGTTGAAAACGCAAGGTTCGCTTGCGTTTGGACCTTAACTCTGCGTCTTAAAGATGAGATGCAGAGTTAGGCGTTCGCTAGGAGTCGAAACGCACAGGCCACATTTGGGCTTTAACTCTGCGTCCAAGACTTAGGACGCAGAGTTAAATCTCTATTGGAGATATGAAACGCACAGGCCGCATGCGTTCTGAAATTGGAAACGCACAGGTCACTGGTGCGTTGAGGATCAACTCTGCGTTCAGAGTTTGGGATGCAGTCGAGTCTGTCGAAGAACGCACATTACGTGTGCGTTTCGTGATTTAACTCTGCGTTACAGAGTTCGACACCTGCTAAGGAACACACACTTGTCTGCGTTTTGCGATTTAACTCTGCGTTACAGAGTTCGACGCCTGTTTAAGGAACGCACACTTGTCTGCGTTTTGAACTTGAAAAACGCAGAAGTGAATTTCTGCGTTTGAGAGAGATTGTTGGCTTATAACCTCGTCCATTATAACATTGCAAAGGCCATTGCTTATTGATCTTTGCCTGTTATAAAATATGAGAGTCGTCCGATTGTAACTCCCGATGTTGATTGTGAATGCTGTTGAATTAGAGCTTTCATCAGTTGTCGTGAAGGTCGTCAGATTGTAGCCTTCTACGTGAAAGTCCTCAAATTGTAGCCTTCTGGAAGTCGTCAGATTGTAACTTCCATCATCGGTATTTGATGGGGGGTCAACTATTTATTGTGATTTTTAGACAGCCTACATAAGTGTCGTCCATACATTACCACATTGTAACAAGAAAAAACTCATGATTAGATATAACTTAATCATGTGAAAAATAAGTGTCTCTGCATAGATCATATAACACTAAGACCACACTCGTTAATATCAATACAAGTTTCATCACATTTATAAGGATTGGGGGTTTATATTCAGTTTCTCCTTGATACCCTGCTAATGAGGCCTAGACTCCTGAAAACAAACTTCTCAGCTACTGGTTTAGCAACCATCCTGCCCTAAATAAGTTCATTCAATTAATCTACCGGCAGATCTTATCAGCTGCAGAAAACATGTAGATGAAGTTTGTTGGCGTCAGTCATTAGTCTTTTAGATAGAATTGCATAAAAGATCAAAAGATTTCTACTAGTGTGGCCAACAATAGATCACAACCCTCCCTTCAACTCCTACTTTACTACTGTTTTTCTCACAATTATCATCATAATGTCAACGTTTGCCTCTTTGTTATTTATTAATTAATTTGTTTTTTGGTTAGAAGTCCTTTTAATTTATATGATGGAACAAATAATGAACATGTATTATACTGTTTTGCAGACTAATGCAGACTACTGGCTTCTGTCGGATGCTGAAGTTAGCATTACAGACATGTGGAAGACAGCGCGTATCCTTTAAATACTTGTTCATTCTTTTTAGCCTTTTTTCGCTGTTAAATTTCGTGAAATAGGACGATATTTTCTTTTCTTTTCTTTGGGGACGATATTCCTTAATTCCAATAAAAAGCTGAGGTTCAATGGGATGGGATAAACAGAATTAACCCAGAGGATTTTATCACGGAGCCAGTCAACAATCGCGTGCCTCAAACTCCCCCTCCTGGCGTTGCTGAGGTCCCATCCAAGACAAACACTGCTCCAAGATGAATACAATAATTATGAAGGAAAAGAAGGAACTCACAGTTTTCAGGTTTGGACGAGAGACAGTAATGCGGAACAAGTACCTCATTGTCTTATTCTTGCCGATGATTCTTGAATCAGGAAAATCATCAATTTTGGTGACAACGAGATGGGAAAGGGAGGAAAAAGCTGTAGATTGTCGCATACAACAGCTGCAGTGTTAACACCATCGCAAGTCGAGTGTATAGCCTACATGATATTACCCTTGAGTTGGTGCTTCTCCCATTTTTTTAAGCATCCATGCCCAAGGCCTCATTTGTAGTCTGAATTGAAACCAATCAATTGTCCTAATACCTTATTTTAATTAATCGAGGACAGAATATTATTTCGTACTATCCTTTTTCGCTATCAAGCAAGAATGCTATATATTTCTCATGGCTCCAAGTTGAATCCATTATTACATTCTATTCAGTTATGTTGTTGACGCTGAAATTGTAGGATAAACACCCCTGTGAGGTATGAACGCATTTTCATTTATGATAAATGCTGTCTAACCCTTCATGAATTTTTGCAGAGTTTGAAGCAGAAAAAGGGAGCATTATCAGATAATCATTCAGGTATGATAAAAAGCAACTTTCACAAAGTTAATTCAAACTTATTTACTGTGAATATTTGAAGTATTACATCAAAGCAGAGATATATCCCCTAAGCTATAGTATACGAACCTCATAGACAAGAGAAAAAAAAAGGTGAAAACCCTACATTTGGTCCTGATTACTGAAGACTCGATCACTTGTCAGCCTTATCAGTCTTCTTCCCTATCCAACCAGCAACTATCGGCGTTAGAGCTACTGTCGGCGGAAACCTAATGGGGGATGCAGCTTTATGTGCAGCATAAGCCAACGCAAAGGTCCCCACTTTTCCACCAGTCTCATCGGCTGCAATGCCAACCTGCAGCAAAACACCAAAACCTCGGGTTAAAGCTTTCAATTTTCCTTTATACTAACATTCGTTTATTCGTTTGCAGTGTTTGCTTACCTTGGCGAGAAGAGCTTGGACGTCGATTCCAGCACTGACGAGAGCGTAGCAGAGAGCGAAGGAGATCAAGGAGAGGGTAATGGAGGTGGCAAGGTATGCACCTCCGTACTTGGTTAGCAGTTCCTTTGCTTGATCTGCCTTTGATTTCTCTTCGCCGTCTCCTTCACTTTTCGAGCTAAATATCTGAATACAAGAGAAATAAAAATAAAATTGGTGAACTGAGCACTACCAACGGTTTTAAGCTGAGGCTGTTTATTATTTACCTTCCATAGTCCGACCTCTAGGCCGTATTTCCGTGTGATTTCGTCGGGCGAGGATTGAGTGGGCTGTGATTTCTCCTTTGTTTCTTGTACTGCTCGGAGTTTGAATCTATTTGAAAGGGATTTTGGTGGGGTTTTTGGTTGGCGAAGGGTGAATTTGTTGATTTTTGCGGGAGGAAGTGGGGATATTAAGAGAGCCAAGGCCATGGAAATGGGGATAGAGAGCTCGCTCCAAAGCTCCGAGAGAAGAGAAGAGGAAGAAGATAGGATCCTAGCTGGGTTCTTTTGGGTTTATTTGGGCCTTGGGCCGTTTCATTCTAGTTGCTGCTGCTTTTGGAAAATTTCAGCCTTGTCCTCGAACATTTGGTCTAATGACACGGGTATCCTGCTCATAGAGCTGGTTTCAGAGAGCACACAATAGCTGGATAATTTGGTCAAATTGGAATTTGGACTTGCTCTACCGTTGGCTGTACCTATCTTTTTAGGGAGAGCGTATTTAAGGCTAGAAGAAGAGACAAGTTGCAAGCATTAGAAGCTTAGAATTTGATGTGGTCAATTCCAAAAACTTGGATGCTAGAGAATATTTTTGCAGAGAAAATATGCGCATGGACTGGATGCAAATAGCAAGAAAAAGACCATAATACAATTTCCCTATGTTTTCGCCTTTATCTTTTAGGGGCTGCTTGCTTTCTTGCATTTCTCAACTTTGCATTGAGAGAATGAGTATTACAAGACAAAAATCTTGACTTTTTTACTAAATACATTGCTTGGTTAGCATTTTTTAATCATAAAATTGGAGTTAGTGTGTAGAATTATTGCATCAATTCTAATTCCCTAAAAAATTTGCTGATTTCGCTTTGATTTTTGTTGATGCCTATCTAAAAAGAAAAAAAAGGAGGGATGGTATACCACATTATCCTCATCAAATTCATATTCAGCCAAACATTATTATTATTATTATTATTTTTGCTTGGATTTGTCATTCTTCAGATCCTTTTCAATATATATGCGGGAAAAAAACAAGATTATGAATGTGGGTTTTTTTTAATCGGTGACATGCATCAAAATTAATTCATGAATCAAACTGTCCCTTGACAGGACAATGCGGGGGTTTGACTTGGGTTCTACCCCGACTTCTCAGTATACCACTGACCTAGCACAAGTGGCAATATCCAATCGATTCAGAGTATTTTTGCTCTATCGAGTGACTGTTGGGTTACTCACCAACAACAAAACTTTGCGAGGGCTCTTTCTGAGACCCACACCCACAGCATGAAGCTCTTGCTGACTAGGCTTAACCCTGGCAAGCGAAGGGTGAGCCCAAGCCCTTTTGAATGCATGCGTTCGACGCACGCTTTTCGTTAGTGAGTTGTTGCTCTGTGCGGCCCACGGAGAACAAATTAAGGTCGCAGTGGCCCAAATTTGATTTTCTCTCAGCAACAAATACCAAGCCCATATATAGATCTAAAATTCATGGACTCTTAGGGGGTGTTTGTTTCAATTTTTTTTGGGGGGGATACAGGGTGGTGGATTACAAAATCTAGGATGAAAAAAATGGAATTTTTTGAGTTTATAGATTCCATAACTTTGTTTGATTCAAAATAAATTTTGGGATATTGAATACCCAAATAATAAAAAACTAATATATTATAGATCCCCTCTTTGAGAGAGGATTTAGACTAGATTTTAAATTCTAAAATTTGTAATGCTACAATTTGAGCTTGAAACAAACAAAATACAAATTATAGGATTACATATCCCAAAATATTGATGAAACAAATAATATTTTAGAATCCCAAACCATGTTAAAAAAACCTACGGATTATAAATCCCATGGTGAAATCCATATCAAAAAATTATTGGATTTGAAACAAACACCTCCTTAACGACTTTTCGGCCAAATTTCCCCGAGTAAAAGTTGGTAATTCCTGTGGAGAGCGAGCAACATCGCTCGCGATAAATGATTACCAGGCATAACGAGCACAAGATAACTCCGCTGCCTGGAGTAAAAGTTGCTCTTTCCTTCGTATCCGTTGTGCTTCGCCTGTACTTAATTGTGAGCGTTGCTTGGGATAACGGTCGTCGAGAACTACCGCTCGAATCTAGCTATTCCATGGGGGAACCCAAATTCCTTATAAATCCCCAGTTAAAAAACTCCTCATCTAGTAAATGTTTGACTAAACGGACCAACGTATCGCCATGCTTCCATAGTTCTCGACGCCCACGCAGCCTGGCTTGTCTCGACTGAACCCTGCGATCTTGTCGTCAACCCGCTGGGGCTCCACGCTGCAGGGTAGTCTGGGCGGTGAGCGCTGCGACGTCGGGGTCACACCCGCGCTGCCTCCTGATTGCAACCGCAAAGAGAGGTTAACTTTAGTACCGACTTATTGAGAGTATTATCCCTTATAAACAAATATTCAACTAGGCTCGTCGCGTCGGATCAAGATGGGGACATTTATCTATATTTATCAAATTTTCAAATAAAAGAGGAAAAAAAAAAAACAAATTAAAGAACAAAATAAAGCAGAAAAAGATGTCTCAGATAGAGATCCGCCGCTAGCCGCAAAAGAACAGGAGAAGAAGCTGGTCCGCCATCATAATAATTGTTGCTCCTGCCAA